GAACTTCAATTAAGTTACCATGATGGGTATATATAGTAAATAATAGGTTCTCCCCAATATGGTAACTTAGTTTAAGTTCCTTAACAGCAACCCAGCCTACACACTAGCTGGTGCCCTGCCTGTAAGCATGGCAGCCGAAGCTTTGGGTGCCGACGCTTGTGCTGAAGCCAGGCTTGTGGCGAAGTTGTCCATGGACCTGGATGAAACCGCATTCGTTATAATGATATGGCAATGTTCACGATGATGATGATGATGATGATGATGGTAGTGATGATAGTGATGATGAAAGGGTTATCAAATGGTGCCGTAATATAATACGCACATAGAAGTATAGATCTGCAGCAAGCGAGAGAAGGGGCGGTGCGGGCGGCGGCTTGGGAGCTATCCGGGCATAAGCAGGGGACAAAAACCTCCTTCACCACCGAGATCCCTCACCCCTAAACCCCTAAACCCTAAACCTAAAAGACCCTAAACCGTTCCTAAGCATGTAGGAATGCAGAGAAAGTCCTTTGGCAACTTACGAAGCCTTTTATGGGGACATATTTCCCCAATAATCAAGAATGAATGGAATGGAGAATGACATGAAAACTAGGGTTGTGCAGGATTTATATAGGAATATACCAGGGAGATGGAAACCAGGGTCATCTAGGGGTTTATATTAAAGCATAACAGGGATAGCAGCAGATCTTTATCATCTGAGCTGGTCATTTGAGCTTAGTCTAAACTCCTAGTATCCCCCTTAATAACCAGTATAATAATTCCCTAGATAATCCCGTATATAACCCCCTTTTCAGGAGCCTAGATTATGGCGCATTTGGTTGGGATCAGGGCAAACCTCCTCTTGCCGAAACTCCCCGTGCTATCAGAGTTTTTCCGTGTACATTGGGGTTATATTGGGGTTATTTGGAGATAGTGGAAAAGAAAATGAACACTACTATAGTGTGCTGGGGTAAAGGATGATGGAAAAGGAAATGGAGACTACTACATTGGGGTTATATAGGGATAATGGAAAAGAAATGGAAACTACTGTAGTATATTGGGCTTATGTAGGAGTAATGAAAAAGCTAAAAACTGAGCCCTGAACCGACTGAATAAAGCCTCAACCCCACGGCCAAACTGCTTTAAATCTGGTGAGCTTTGCACTAAAGTATAGTGGGTTACAGCTTGAGCCAATCGCCCCAAGTGCGCTGCAAATGTGGATCAACAAACCTCTTCCGAAAGCGCCCCTGCGGGACAAATTTGTTCCTTTACGAGACTTCAAACCGATCCGAGGTCTGAAACTGATGCTGAGACACTCCCTTCAACTGCCACCCACAACCTCTAAATCCAAATCGCTGAATCCTTGAACCCTGGCCATAGCAAGAATTCTGTTCCCCTATATAATCCCGTACAACCCCCCAAGAAATCCTGCGCCCCCCTTGGTACTGTAGGCCTTAACCATTGCAATAGCCCAGCGACCTATGAGATGTGCTCCATGATCCCATCTAAGACCTGTAGATTTCATCCAAATCTGATCTCCACAAGCTACCATGGTGAAGATCCGAAAAGTGTTTCAAGCAATTGGGGTTTTCTTGAAATCGAGTCATGATTGGGGATCTAGAAGTGTGCAGTCAGGCAAGGGTCAAAAAAGGGAAGCCAAGCAGAATTCAATAGGGGGTAGTAGGGAATAAGTAAGGGAAGATTGCATAGCGGGATTATATAGGCATTTTCTTCCCTGAAAACCCTAAACCCTAAACCCTATTAACCACCTGAAACTGAAGGGTCCCCGGGGGATCCTCATGGATCCTTGGCAGGGAGAAAAGGGTTTAGGGTTTGGGGTTCCCGAAAGTAGGGGTACCTTTTTGGTAGGTCTCCATAGTAAGGAGTTCAGCATTTTAGGGTCTATGTTGGGGTTCCCCTATTTTGCCCAATTTTGGGAAACTACCATATAAAGGATGTAACAAGGTTTAAGGATTTAGGGTTCCAGGGTTTTAGGGTTTAGGGCTTAGGGGTAGGGATGTAACAGGATATATGGGAATGCTGCTTAGTTTTTGCCTCAAATAGCAGCCTTAATCCTCGGGTTCGTGGCTTCGGCTTGGGGCTGTTTAGGTTTACAGCTTGAGGGGGGGGGAGGGGGTTGGGCTAAACCTTAAACCCTAAACCCTAAAACCTAAACGCTTCGGTGCCAAAACCACATTGGTCTCTATAAAGCCCGTAACATCTCGAGATCTCCCTACATATCCCCCACATATGTACATCGAAATCCCGATGTATCCTACATATCCCTATCTATCTCTATATCTTTCTCGGGCCAGGGGATAGAAAGCCAAGTCTTCGGCTGCTTCTGATCCGGTGAGGCCGCTGTGCCGCGCTGTGTCTCGGCCTTTAAAGTGCCATAGTCCCGCTTAAGCAGATAGAATATGAAGTATATGGGGACATTATTTTAACATACCAAAGCCATATTCCATCTACTTGAGGGGGACTATAGCCTTAGGCTTTAGGGTTTGAGCGTCCGTCTGTTGAGACTACAGGGGTCCCCCTTAAAGAGTATGTGGGGACCTTGTTGGAAAACTTCTTTGTATGCTTGGAAATCCAGTTCGGGGTTAGTCTTTGCGTGGAAGTCCGCTCTGAAAGGATTATCGAGGGCTTTGTAAGGTTCTTTATCCAAAAGATTGGCGCCATATCATTCGCATCTGCATCCAATGGGCAGTTGAATAACAAAAGCTGCGTGGCTTTTAGGACAGGGACGTGTGCTCTTCTAGAGAGATTGTATAGACCAGCGACTACGATTTGGGAAAAGTGCCCATATTCTAGGATGTCCTTCCTACATCTTAAGCTTGAAGTACCTAAAATCCTGATGGATACAAACGAAGCAGACCCAGAGAATAAATGCAACTTTGGTGTGGGCAGTTACCAACAATTCAAGAGCTAAATGTAGCCCGCGGACAATAAGACCCCTGAACAGGAAGCCGTAAAAGAGGAAATGATTTTGGCGCATCTCCTGAAACATCAAGAAAGAACTTTGCTTACTGGTGGTCTAGAAGAAACAGAAACTACAATCCCCACATTAATCCGATATAATATATTCCCTTACTCCCTACTAACCATGACCCCTAATCTTAAACTCCGCGAACATTACGCCTGGGTTCCCTTGTTCCCTACAAACCCCTGTAAGTTTGACAGTCTGAAATTTTAGACGAAGCTCTGCCAGCTCCAGAAGAGCCTTCTTGACCTCCGCGCGATTACGGTTCAAGGGTCCGGTGCTTACCTCATTCAACATCAACATTCATGTGGATTTAGATGTCAGCATGATAAGCACCCCAAGAAAGAATTTAGTCATAGCCATCCTTCTTTTGCCTCACACTAGCAGCTAGCAACTACCCATAGACCTCTACATAGGGCCAGGCTCTTAAGGCCTTGCGATTATTCGGCTCAAGGTTCAATGCCTCTATAGTCAAATATAAGCTGATTCTCAGTTGCTATGTACCGTACTAGTACATGCGCCCAGAATGCCACAGCATATCTAATGATTTCCAGAATTTAGGGCCCTCTCATTTTGTGACAGATGAAGAGCAACACTCCTCTGGAAATACACATCTGAAAAGTATCAAACTGAGCCCTCTAGAGCCTCTGAAACGACCATGTCCAGTGTTCAGTTCAAGAAATGATCTCCAAGTAGGTCCAGGAAACCAGCAAGACCCTCCCGTTCAAAAGCACAAGCTGCTAATCTAACCTAATCGCAAAAATGACTTGTGGACTGCTACTGTCGGACAACACTGTTGCATTCTGAACCATAAATGGTCTTTTGGAATTGCAACGAACATTCTATACGCAATATCCGTGTACGGTCAATTCTTCAGTTTTTGTCATCAAGTCTGTCATTTGTCCTGGCTGGTTTGAGAGTGTCCGGCCCCACCGTTGTTCACCTGAACGTCTTCCTGCAAGTTTGTAAAATGGTATTCATAAATCCTGGCAACATGAACTCTTGATTGCTCTCCATGCTTGAAACATTTGCAAGGGAAACATCTGCAGAACTTCACATGGTTCGAGGCAGTCGCGCAGGGCGGCACTCCAAGACTTAAGTCCTGCAGGCAATGTAATGCGCGCATATGAATCCAACTCATCCCTGCTGTCCCCAAAGAAGGATTAGTTTCCTGGACAGATGTCTCACAATACAAGGAGACTTTCAATTGGAAGAACTATACTAACCATTTTCCCTGAGACTTTAGACCCAAACTCCTGAAAGCTGCAGACTCTCTTGCCACAAGCCCGTAAAGATCTGCAGCAAACCTTTTCCAACCCGAAGCCGTAGGAATCCCGAAGGCCAACCCTTGGGTAAAGGGGGGTTGGCCAGCCCAGCCGAGCCATCCTGATAAACCTCGATGTGGCGCCTAAACCTAACTTCTGAAACGTAAAGACTTAATGTCCTCAACCGTAATCCAGGCAACTGTAGATTCAAAACCTTGAATCCAAAGCCCTGGCTGGTAGCCCCAAGAAACGCCTCAAACTCCAAATAACGGATGGGCATGGATGATGGGCTTCGTAGAGCGGGTTGATAAGGGAACCCATGAATAAACCTTTTGTTCTCTTAGATGGGGGCCCTGAACCCTGAATAAATATCTTGTTCAAGTATTTTGTGGCTCTCCATATTCACTAAGACTGCTTTGGTGCCTCAGGTATTCGCTCTGGTGTGACGGGTGTCGACAAGTCCACCTCTCATCCCCCATAAAAATTGCCGAGCAAAACGGAGCTTGAAACTTGAAAGTCGGGGTTAAAGATTTGTTAAATCTCTAAGAGTGACTGAGTACACAAAGCAATTGGGGGTTCTAAGTCGCTTCTTTGACAATTTCAGTTTTTCAGAAGTGTACTAGAATCCAGGGACTTTCAGGATTCTGGCCGCAGAGTTTCAGGAGTAGATGGGAGGGGTATAGGGCGCAGGGCGCGCTTCGGACTCTGAAGTTTCAAGCTATGTACCATCCAACAAAGCCTATACACCTGCAAAAGCTTACGACACAATAACCTTGACCTCCTATTGGTAAAGGGGGTAGCAAGAATCGTTTCGCTACTTTTGCTGTCTAACAAGTTCCAAGTCCTAAAACCTACCAAGTTCGAGCGGCAATAATGATGGGGTGGAAGCAATGTAGCTACATACCCAAAAAATTCCTTGATGTTCGTGGCACCGGGTAACGAACGACGACCTTGCAAGAAGACGA